AGTAATTTAGTTTAAAGGGGATCTATTGTGCAAAATTCATATTGTGCATGTTTTTATTTTTCCATTTTCACTTCTAATCTCCTGTGTATGGCATATGACTTTCACTTTTTGAATCAAGTTACTGAAATACATAAAAATCTCACCCCTCATCTGTTCAGATGCTCACTTTCCTGATCACATATTTTCACTGTTGCCTCCCGATTCTTCTCCGTGGGGATTCAAACTCTTTTACTTTTCCCTCATCTTACAGCTGCAGAAGGCCATAGAGGGCTCGACTCGCAGCGGCGTGCGGCTTCGTCCCCCTCTGGCCAGCTTCAGAGACGCCAGCAGGAAAACCAAGAAGCATCAGCCTCCCTCGTCCTCCGCCGCTTCCTCACCCACGCGGGACAGAGACCTGTGGGGAGAGGGGAGCCGAAGAGAGAGCGAGATGCTGAGGAGGGAGTCCAGGGACAATTCCCGGGGAAAGACTCCATCTCTTAGAGGAGCTCCCGGGTCTGAAGCGGTCCCCTCGCCTCCCGGCAGCGCGGGGAGCAGCAGCGGGAGCAGCAGCGGGAGCTCCGCCAAGGCGAGAGGAGCAGAAGGAGTGTCTCAGGAGGCTGCGTCCCCTTCAACTTCCTCCTCCTCATCCTCCCCGTCGCCTCCCGTGTCCCCCGTGTCGCATACGAGCCCAGTCCTCACACTGTCCTCCCTGCAGGAGGAGAGGGAGAGCGAGGAGTCGGATGAACAATTGTAAGAGAGCCAGGGAGGAAATGTGGAGAAGGAACTTTACTTTTTTTTTGTGTGATTTCACTCCTTCTCGTCAGAGACAGAACAGTCTGAACGGAGGAGTCGAGCTTCCTGCAGCCCTTAACGACTCTCAGCCACCGGGACGAACTGGTTTACACGAACCCGTCTTGAAACATTTAGTCCTGGATAGTTTTTATTTTGTTCTATTTTCACAGAAATCTCACTTTTTCACTTCTGAGTCTCAGGTGTCTTCCTGTTTCCTTTGAACTGCAAACAGCTACAAATCACAGATGTTTCGCCTCCGTCCAAATCCGAGGTGGATGGAGATGAATCCGTTCAGTTCATTATGTACATGTGAGCTATACTGACAGCTATGAACTGTGCAATAATGAATTGATTAAAAACTGATTTAATTTGGCCAAATGGTCAAAGAGATCATGCATTTAAAGTTAATTGATTTTTTTAAAAGCACATTTAATAAGCTAAAATAAATTCACCTTATATGTTAAATATTCAAATCATTGTTACAAGTTTCTAATTTGTAAAAAAAATGAATAAATTCTTATATTGTCTATTAACTAATTTGAGTTATTTAGAGCTGAGTTGGTGCGCTGCAAATTGCAAATATTTAGTGACATTTCTTCTGCTGTCCACCGTTGTTTATTACCTACTTTTCTAAAAAGAAAAAAAAAAATCTACTCCTGAAAATAACATGAAGATTTCTAAGCCATGATGGTTGCTGCTGTGGATGGAGAAGAAGACGCAAATGACGTTGGTTCTCTGAATTCAAATTGCCGCATTTTGTCACCCCCGAGAGAGCCTGTGTGCGCTCTCAGAGCATGCAGATGGGATTGTGGAGCCAAATGGGGCGTGGCTTATTAACCGTCCTCAGGCAAAATAATTATTCTCCAACCTCCTCGTATCATTATCTGAATCTGCAATGGCGTCTCACTCTTACAGCTCACTCTGCGTCTGTGACTGATGACCTCCTGACGAGGATCCAGGGGTGTAAAATATGTGGGCTCACCTCAACACCCTCAATCTGTGGCAGGAGCTTTCAGTTTGCCATTAGATGTAAAGAACATATGCAGACAAAAAGAGAATTATCTTAACGGGGTCACATTCATGTTTCACCCTTCCATCCCATAGAGGTTACACTTTAGGTAGGTAAACTTAGGTAGGTAAACTTCAACCCTCGATTCACTGCCCCCTACTGGAATATTTCAGAACAAATCATAAAAATTAAATGAGGCTTTAGCCGTCTGAACGGTTTCTGTTCATAAGTGCCATCTTGCCACCTCAGTTCGTTACAGGAAATGTGCGGTTAGCATTAGGGAAACATGACATTACTAAATATCACAAAACCGATTATGATTAACCCAAACTACACTCTCTTTACAACTGTCCTTCAGCTTTAGATGCACAAGAGCTTGGACAGGAAACCTTCACCTCTATTAAGTTTTCAACAACAAAAAAGCAAAACAAACAAAAAGTGAGTCTGAAAAGTTCTACCTCTGGTAGCCTAGAGCTAAAGCGAGCTTGGTTACATTTTATGTAACTCTATGTAAACTCATTAACCAACTTGATGGACCTCCAGCAGTCAATGAGGTAAGTAAATACCACCACATCACTTCCAGCTTTCGAGTGTATAAACAGTTCTGTGTTGTGAAGGTCAACAATGTGTTTCAGGCGCCGAGTCCTCTGTGAGCTTCAGCAAATAAGCAGTTTATCCCAACGGAGGGCATTTGTTGTTTATATTCTCCTGGCACACAATTCCTGATAAGGACCGGGAGAGGAGGGCTTTTGGAGAAGCACAGATTACACTGCTGCCTATTGCTTGTCGGCTTCTCTTCTGGTGTGTCTGTCAGTCACAAATAAGACGCGGAGAGACAGAAAACAGATAAACAACAGAAATGTGTTAAAGCTCAAGAGGATACAGGAAACCCCTGAGATTGTAATTATTTACAGCCTGTGAAAAGAGACCCACACATATCCACAAAGAAAAAAGACAATTTGTTTGGTCTGTTTATTTGCTCTTTCTCCACCAGGAGGAAAATAAAAGGAGACGGGTAGAAGAGCCGGAGAAGGTGAAGGAGGCTGCGTCGTGCAGGGGGAGAGAAAGAGAGAGCCGTGGACAGAAGAGGGAGGGGAAACCACATGGAAGAGCCAACCTGTGAGAACCGTCCTACAAGCATGCATAGGTGTGTTATCAGTCACACTGCCTCGTTTAAGACAAATCCAGTTTTATGCAGACGTTTTACAGAAGCCATCAGATTTTATACAGCGTTTTTTTTTTTTTGTTGTTGTTTTTTTTAATACAGCCGTTCTCGCCACACAACTCCAAATTTTATGCATCGAGGGCTTCAAAACCCTCTTGGACTGATGTGAAAAGTTTATTGTTCCAGGCAGTGAATTTTTCCGGAAAGACAGCGGACATTTTTTTTTTTCTTTTTAACTGTACACAGACATACGCACGGATACAAGTATACAGAACGGACAGAGAGGAAGAGAGTGAGAAAGGCAGAAGGTCGGAGGCAGATATTTGACCATCCTGCCTGCAGAAAAGTTACTGAAACTCCTCGGAGACGGCAGTGGCAATTACACGAAAACAGGAGGAAACCAAATGAAGTTAAAGACATGATTGGTAAACCTTTAACATCCACAGAAGTATATTTGGTTTCATGTTATCTCTTCATTCATTCATCGAGATCAACAAAGGTTTTTTTTTTTTTATTAAAAAAAAGGGGAAAAAAACAAGAAAACTCAAAGAGAATCAGTGTCTTCCTCTATGAAATATCTGTTTTTAAAAGCAAACAGTCGAGCCCAAATACGCTGTGAGGCTTTCGTCTCAAACAAAAGCATCAACCTTTCAACTTTATTATGTCTTAAACTAAAAGAAAAAAAGATACTGCTCCTAAATGAGTTATCTACATGAAGTAACAGCCTCTGTACAGCATCAAGGTGTTTCTCCCTACCAAGTAATTGTTCAATAAATAAATTAATGTGCGTCACAGCGTAAAAGACGTTCTGTTAATGGGTTTGAGTTCTCTAAAGACGTTCTTGCAGCTTTTCAAACTAGGTTTCAGTCTACGAGGCCTTGCAAAAGTATTCGGCACCCATGTCAGTGTGGGTTTTCTTTTTATTTTATGGGATAAATAAACTCAAACTAGTGCATGGTTGAACATGATGCACTTAAAAGCGTGGCATGCAATGCTTTGTAGAACCATTTTTTGCTTCAATTGCAGCACCAAATTTTTCAGGATTTCCAGCTTAGCGAATCTAAAGACAGAACGTAAGTGTAGCAACTGCTTGCTGCGCCTTTCAGCTTCCAGTATGTTCAAAGTTTGTGAAATTCATTTTCTGTTTTTGTTCCACATCACTAATTGTGCACTAGTTAGTGTTGATCTTTGACATAAGACCCCACTAAAACACACGAAAGTGGTGTAAACTGTGAAAAACGTCAAGGGTCATAAATAGTTTTGCAAGGCAGTGTTCAGTTATTTCACGTTAGGAGCTGCCAACCTATCGGTCTCAAAACCAGAACAAAACACGTCTGTGTTACAGCCCTGACACCTATCCTAACTTATACTGGAAGGGATCTCAACAAGGCAGTAGAAAAATAAATATTGTCCCTCGACATTGCATAAAGAAGCACTCAATAAATAAATTCATTCAAGTCAATAAACTCCAGATTTTGTCGTCAAAGTGTCTTGCACAGTCCTCAAAGTGAGAGAAGGTGTTCCCCAGACGGTAAAAAGACGCGAGCAGAGAGTTCGCCGCCGCTGTTCGGCTCCCACTCCTGCTGGGAAAACGTACACTCTTTCTTAATTGCAAAACAAAAAAAAACAAAATCACTGAAAGAAAATAAAATAAAAAAACAAAAATTCTCCTCACACATCACTACCACACTCCCAGGCAGCTGCTTCACAGTAGTAACGATGAACAGGAAGACACCAGTCTCGTTTCACCTCCAGTCTTCAGTCCTGTTACCTGATTGAGCTCAACCAACTGGTTTCCAGTCTGATCGATTGCTCGGTCCATTTCATGTTTAATTGTGCAGCAGTAAACAAAACCAACAAAACAAAAACAGAGCAAGCTTTCAGCGCAGTCCCCCCCAAAAAATAAATTGGGACCCGAGAGGCGTAGAAAAATAAAGAAATCATACTGCAAAAGAACAGCCGTGACTGTGACTGAGAGGCAATTACTACATACTGTATTTACATCTTAACGACAGAGCTGGACTGGTCTTTTCTGTGTCTTTTTTTTTCTTTTCATTTGGAAGGCAAGTGTTTCCTCTGCCTATTGCTGGTTACAATTTAGATATTCCCGTGTCCGTGTGTACGGAGTGGCTCTGAGTGACCAGGAGGCGACCCTCCCACCCCCCGCAGTCGTCCAGTACATTCAGAATAGTGGTCAACATCCTCTGTGTGTCAGGATCTGTGTGAAAAACAAAGCAGCTGAGTGTTCCTGCATCGTGAAGCGGCTCGGGTGGTTTTGGTTTGTCAGAGCGGGGAACGAGCCAACAGTCCAAAGGCAAACTCTGATCTGCTGGATTGCTTTAGTGCAAAAAAAAAAAAACATATTTCACAACAAGGAAAAACCCAACTAAAGTCGTGTACGCAGCCGTCTCCGTCGGGGAACTCCCACCTTGGGATTGGAACGGTTCAGTGCAAAGTCTTTTACAGTGCTGTAGAGTTACAGGTACTCTGTGGTACTCTGAAGGACATGCATACAGAGAGACAGAGTAGGAAGCTCGCTATCTTACAGTACAATCCTTATCTGTGCAGGGTTGGGTGTGTGCAGTCAGCAGAGCAGGCTCGCCCCCGGGTTGTGCCACAAAGTCGCAGGAGAATGGATTTCAGACGAGTTAAACTGCATTTCACCGAAATGCTGAGACTCCTCTGTGAAATTGCTCGGGTTGCTTTTTGTTGTATTAGGGTGCACGTGTTTGATCCAAGAGAAAGAAATGAAGAACGCGTTAAGTCAGGGCTGTAAACAGAGCAGCTCTCCTTCAGGAAACCTGTGAGATCTCATCACACATCGCTTGCTGTTCATTTTTTTTTTTTGCTTTATTACAAAAATTGTTCCTCTTATTATGCTAATGTAAGTTAGATTTTTATTTTCATCATAAGACAAAGACAGGTTTGAGTTGTTGGTCTTCAAAGAAAAAGCATGCATGTTTCCATTCCCCTCCTCTTCATCACAGTCTGGTTTCTTTCCCCCCTTTGGAAATGTTCTTCCCCCTCCTCCTCCTCCTCCTCCTCCTCCTCCTCTTCTGCTCTGTTTTAACTCTATTTTTCAAACCTTCGGGGTGTAAGGCTTACAAAGACAGAGGTGTCCTTTGTTGCATGAGCTCCTGTCTGGTTGTGAGTCATTTTAAGGAATTCACCTTTAAAACGAAAAGTTTTTGATACCTGAAAAGGAACGGATTAATAGATATATATTGTTGTATGTTGCTCGTCCCTCGCCGACTCCCAGGTTAGTTTGTGTTCAGGAGTCTAAACCATCAGGAGCTCAGTTGGCGGCCATGGAGGCAGGTGGCCCAGCCTCCTCTTCCTCCTCTTCCTCTTCCTTTTCCTCCAGCGTCTGGATGAGACCAGAGGTGACATCGGAGGCCTTCCGCTCTGTGATTGGCTCAGTTGGCGGTTGCCCTGGACTACTGCCTCCAGAGGCATCTCCCTGCTGCGTGGGCGGAGTCAACATGGCCGACTCCTGGTCCAGGGCCAGCATTATGTCTTCTTCCTGATCGGGACAGAGGCGAAGGAGTCAGCGTGCTCAGACCCAAACCAGCAGCTGTTGTGCCACAGATTATTTGAACAGGTGCAGAGAGAAACCTCACGGTTATTTATTTATTTATTTATTTATTACTTATTTTAAACAATAGAATAAACAAAGTTGAGCTTAACTGTGGAGAGAAAAAAGTAGATTCTTAATTGGATTTTATCTGTACTTTGACTAGGTCATTCTGTCTCTTGAATATGCTTAAACCTAAACCATTTAATTGTCTTTTAAAGCCTCTAATTGATTTTCTTTTAGGATTGTTCTGTATTTAGCTCCAAACATATTCCTGACCAGTTTCATCTTCCCCATTGATGACGAGCACTCCCGCAGCATGATGTTGCCACCACCGTGTTTCACAATGATAACGTTTTAGCATGAGAATCTAAAGGTTGCATCTTGGTCACATGAACTGGACATCTGAAGCATTCTGAGTGTGAGATGTTGTTTTATAACTCAGCCATGGTTTAACAATGTTTTTAGTCTCCATGATGCTGTTTGTTCACTATAGTTCTTGAAGAAGCATCCAAAGCCTTCACAGAACGGCTTGAGGGCAATTTTCTTTCTGATTAAATTAGCTCAAACTTTCATTTTTTACATTTTTAGTCTGAGATTGCAGTAGCGTGATCAAAATAATATCATTTTAAGTAGTTTTTAATGAAATTGGCTGGTATTACGTCTAAAAAAAACCATACTGCAACAATTCACAATCTATTCAAACAATGTACTGAACTGATCATCCTAAAAAATTATTCTAGGAAGCTATTTTTAAGTACATCGTTTTAAAAACCCCTGCTGGGACAAGAGGAACAAATGTTACTGGAAATGAAATTATCTAGAGAAAAATTTTAACCATTTTGTCAAATTAATTAAAAAAAACCCCAGCATGACTAAGAATGATATTGGAGTGGTTTAATCTTTAAAAGAAGAAATGGGCAGCAGCAGTTCAGTGCACCCCAGATTAAAACAGTGAAATTAAAAATTTATAAATATGATTTATGGATGTAAAATAGAAAAAAATGCTATGAACTTGAGGCCTGTGGGTGAAAACAGAAAACCCCTGCAAGTTGTGAACAAACTAATCAACCTTCTCACCCTCAGCATTCAAATTTGCTCTTTCTGCAGTTGTTACATCTAAGCGCATAAAATAATAGGTGAGCAATTAGTGCTTAACCTTGATCACTGGCAAATATTTCAACTGCGAATTCCTAGAATATTGTAATGAAGTGATTAGATTAACTAATTAAGCTGAACTCAGAGTTAATTGGATAAACCCTCCGTGTGGTCGCTCCCAGCCTCGGCTCAGACAAAGTCAGCCTTCGATTCCTGAGGAGAAAATCGTGCAGAAAAGCCACATTTTGTCCTCACCTTGAACTGCTCCTCCTCCTGCTGCTCCAGCAGCGGGGAGTGCTCGGTTCCCACCACCTCCTCCCCCGCCGGCACACACAGGCCCGCCTCCACCACCGCCGCTACGCCCATGTAGCCTCCGGCCTCCGCCTGATAGGCCTCCATCTGCCCCGTGTTCCACAGATCAACCAGCGGCGGGTGGACCTGGTGAACCAGGCTGTGGATGGTGCTGTTGGGTGTTGCCTGCAGAGAGTGGTTGGCACTGTGCAGCCGGTGCTCCAGAGCCTGGAAACACACAAGATGTGATGATGACCAGAAAATTTAATTTAATGTGAGGGAAAGCAAAGGGAATTGGATTAGCTGCTTATTGTCACCTAAAAGAGGAATAAATTCATCAAACTTAGTAAAACGTTTCCATTTACCCGCCTTAAGTTTTTATGTGGCCCTGTAGACTGTGGAAATAGAAACTTCAACATTATAGTTGTGGGCTTAAATATTATTTTTGTCAATCAAATCAACAGTTTTACTTGTATATTCATATGTTAGAGTTGAGACTAATACAGCTCTGGAGAAACAATGAAGAGAGCACTTTACTGAACCTCATTGAAAACCTCCTACTTATCCCACCAAATATTGATTTCTGAACTCTTCCTGAGTTAAAACATTAATATTGTTGTCTCTAAACAAATATGAACTTGTTTTCTTTGCATTTCTTTGCTGCATCTTTTTCATTATTTTGACCATTTCTCATTTTCTGCAAATAAATCCTACATTTTTGCTTGGAATTTCAGAGACATGTCGTCAGTAGTTCATAAAATAAAAGAATGATGTTCATTTTACTCAAAGATGAAGAGTAAAAGCAGGGAAGTGATCATTTTGCAGTGCTCTGTTAATTTTTTCCAGAGCTGTATCTAACTGATGATCGTCAAATCTTCTCATCCAACCCGACTGAGGTTGAATTTTAAAAAAAGAGCACAGCTAATGGAGATAAACCTGAAAATACCGACAGCAAAAGGTGGCTCTGTGAAGTTTTATCTCAGGAGGGCCAAACATAAAAGCACAAATTATTTTTGTTTTAAAACCATTTTTTTTTCCCACTCTTCAACTATGTATCACTTTGTGTCAGATAATCGGATAAAAGTTTATATCCTATGGTTGCAACATCACAAGTTGTGCAAAAGTTCATTGGATTTGAATACATTTGCAATGTACTGAATCTGTTCAAAATAACTCCCAGTGTCCTTGAAAAATGTCCCTATTTTGAAGACTGCAGCTCAGCTCTGCAGACATCCTAGTGTCTCCTTTTATTTTCCTAGCTGACTCAACTTGAACATTTTTTAAGATGCGGTCAGATCGGATCATAAAACTGCTAAACTATTTGCACCACTACTTCAATCAGGGCCTGATGCACTCCTTTCATGCGTCATAACCGTGACTTGGACTAAACCCAAGCCACATATAGTCTCTCCCCGGTAAATGTTCCTCCTGGCAGCGCCGTGCGCTCACCGCTGAGAGTCCACCTGCTCTGCATTAATCACCTGTTGTTGTTGATACTGCAGGAGCTGCTGATGCTGGTACTGCTGGATCTGTTGGAGCTGCTGCAGCTGCTGGAGGTTGTACTGCTGCTGCTGCTGCTGCTGCTGCTGGGACAGGAAGTGAGCCGCCGCCTGCCCGTCGTAGCCGTCCGTCCCCATGATGTAGGAACCAGCAGGGGGAGACGCCACGCCCGAAGGGTCGCTGTTGGTCGGTTCCCAGGCGTCGGAGGACGAGAGGCAGTAGTGGCCCTGGGAGACGTACGTGTGAGGCCACACCTCTGCTGAGGACTGGTGTAATATCTGATCTGGAAAGATTTAAAAATGCAGCAGCTGCTACTGGAGCTCCAAGAACAGATGTGAGAAGGAACAAGAACCACATCGTGAGAAGGATGTCTTTAAGTCATGCTGCAGGTTTCTAGTTCCAGCAAAGACTCTTAATTATTGAGATTTACAAACAAGGGTTTGTAAAGATTGAGCAGAAATGCTTCCAAGTGGAGTGATATGACAAAAGCTCCCAGTTGCTACTGAAGCAGTCAGTCAAACTGCAGAATTTGACATAAAACACTTTTTTTGCTCTCATTCTCTCAGGAGAAGATACGTGTTAACGCTGAGGAGTTAAAACAGCAACAGACATGTTTTACAAAAAAAAAAAAAAAAACCCTGAATGATCTGAGGCAAATGCAATAATCCCTCAAGCCTTGGGATGGTTTAAAAACTTTAATCTCAAATTTCACTCATAAATGCATGGCCACAGGGAGAGAAATTTTCAGATAAAAAAACACACTTGGAAGCATTGAAGACTCCACAACCTTATCAGTGATGCAGGGAGAGGTTTAAAATTTGAAGTTTCAAGCAAAATTTTTCTTTTTTTTATGTAAATGTAAAGAAAGTTCTTCTTTCAGCTGCACATTTGAAGATGAATGTCACAGAAAGCTTTGCTGAGAAAGTAAACAACTAAAACCAAACGAAGAATTAACCGAAAGAAAATTTATAGACGTTAAAATACTAATGTTAGTTTAGAAATCACTGAAATACATTAAAGATCTGTTGTTGTTGTTGTTGTATCAACCTTCCAGACCTCTCAGGTTCTGGTTCTGATCTGAAGAACCAGAACCAGAACCAAACATGGTGAAGCAGCATCCAGCTTCCACAAATTAGGAACAAACTTCCTTAAAACTTCAAAACAGCTGAAACCCTGAGTTCCTTTAAATAAAGCCTAAAAACTCACCTCCTTTGATTAGTAAAGTCATTGATCAATTTATTTGACATGTATTTGCTTGATGATTTTGATGATGTCATTATTGCTTCTTTCATAATTAGTGACTGCATGATGCTTTTCTGATGTAAATCACTTTGAACTCTTGTTGCTACAAACTTTATTAGATCAGTTTATTTTCCACACAACAACAACAACAACAAAACCATCATGCAGATATTCACTGCGGTATTTTTATTTTCATTTTTCCGACAGCAGCAGGTCTGAACGTGGTTTTGTGTATCCTGGCAGTTTTACCTCGACCTGCCTGTCCTACCAGCTGCTTTCTGCTGAGTTTTACCTCGACTGGTGATGCTCTCCTGGTTGACCTCGCTCAGGTGAGCCACGCTGCCCTGGTTTGAACCCGACCGCGGGCTCTCCCCGTCCATCGACGACCACGCCAAGAGCGTCGCCTCCGAGATTGCAAACTGTTGCAGGATGCCTGAGGTCAGAGGTCAAAAGAACAGACCCAGGTCAGAATTGAGACATGCATCACATTTAATTGGCTAAATGTTTGCCTAATGAGCGCATAATGCTGCTGATAACAGCTAACAAGCCCGGGACTCTGTCTGCCCTCTGGCTGTGTGCTTGCACCTCACCTGCAGCGAACCGAGCCTCCTTTTCTCCGTCGCTGAGGTCGCTGTAGGCGTCGTTCTCCGCCCGCCGCTCCTTTTCCCGCTCTTGGGTGCTGATGCGGGACTGGGGCAGCCCTCCTGCGCCAACCGTCTGCATGCCCCAGTTCTGCCATTCGATCATGTGAGCAACACGGCCCTGGGCCATCGCTGTGGGCTTGGTTACTCTTTCCTTCATGGTGCGTGTGACTCCTGATGGAGTAGGAAAAAAAAAAAAACATGCAACACAGGAGGAAGAAGCACAGAGAAGGATGATGGTTTGAAGGAAGACAGGAGAGAACATGATGAAGAGATTGGAGGAGATGTAGAGGTGAAAAGATGGATAGACAAAACAACAGGGAAGAAGAGGGAAGAGAGAAATAATAGTTAGGTTATTATCATGTTTATATTTCTGCTGAGAGATGGAAACTGTGATGAGTGAAAGTATCGATGTGCTGCAGGATTGGACTGATAAGCTGCTTTGAAAACGAGACAGATGGCAAGTGGCGAGATTTTTTAATATTACCAGAAGATGAAGTCCAGTGGAAAAATCTTTTGACACTCTGAATTTATTTTCTTTCTAAGAAGTCAGACTTCCTGCCACAGTCTCTATCAGTTTTTTTTGTTTGTTTTTGTTTTTATGAAGGTCTTTTGAAGATGCTCTTTAGTCTTATTTGGGCATTATTCACTCATTTTCAATCAAGCACATGACAGTTTTCAAAAATAAATGTTTAATGGATTTTTTTAGCTATTTATGTCACTATCCTTAGGTGTTACAACTTTTGCTTTCATTTAGGTTCATGTTTTGATCTTTCTTCTTTATTTGTTTAGATCTTGTTTGCTCCTTGTGTTTCTTCATTTATTCTCAGCATTTATGAGATTTATTCCTTAGATTAATGTTTCTTTCTGTTACTGTTTATACCTTTCTCCTGCTTTGCTTATTTCCCCCCTCTCTGCACAGCTGTTGCACATCTCCTAATTTTCCTCTTCCTTTCCTCTTCCCCAGCTGTCCCTACTCACCTGTGATTAGCTCTTTCACTTCTCCACTCCCTAATCAGTGTATTTACAGCTTCCTGTCTGCATTGTTCTCCACTGGTCCTCCCTCTATTTTCCAGTCGTATCTCTGCCTGAGCCTCATTACTTTTTTTAAATTAAATATCTGGAACTTCACCTGATCCCATGAATTGCCAGCGTTTGGATCCTTCCCATTTAAACGCATTATGACAATTTAACTTTGACCTGCGAATCCTTGGGGCATAAAAAGACTATTAAAGCCAAGCAATGAAACTTCAGTCAGTCTTAAAAAGTAGAACTGATTTTAAGTCAAAACTTTAGCCATGTTTTATGAAGTCTGTCGCAAATACAGTGAAAGAGAGACTATATTGGCTGCTGCTGCTGCTGCAAAATACGAGATGCTTTCAGAATAAAACAGACTGCAGTGTCCGGGAAATGAGTTATTCGCAATATTAATTCAGAACATGTAATTTAACTCAGCAGGATGTTTTACTTCATAGGCATAACATTTAGTTTAATGATATGCATAGGAACTTGGTATCTGCAAATATCTTATTCTTAAAGAATTTGCATTTGCATAAAATCCAGATCAGGTTAGGGATCGGGATTCCCAAAGAACTGAAGGATGAAACTTCTCGTAGGATTTTCCTAGTTATGTCTTATTTTTCAAAGATATGAGTTTCATCTGGTGTTAATCTGCTGTAGTTTAGCTGGTCAGGTAAACTGACAGAAAATAGCTGCAAAGAGCAGTAAGAAGGACTGCAAAATATTTTCAAAAAGTCAGGAGCACTGAAAGAAAAAACATCACCAAGACACGTTATCTGTTCACTTGGAAGAGAAAATTACTGATGGTTTCAAACTTTTACATGTTGTTCTAATTAATTGGTTTGTTATTATGGTAATTATACTCTGATCCCAGCACCAAACAAATACAGAACAACTGAACACCTTCAGGCATGAAAATGAATAGATGAGTAAATAAATGGTAGCAGCCTAAGCTGAACTATACCAGAGTACAATAAAAAAAAAAAATTAATATATCAGTCCAATCCTGCTGATCAGATGTGTGCGGGTAAATGACGGTGGTCATTAGCATGGATTTTGAGAACCGCTGAATATTGGTCGCCGTGGCGGCGACAGCTTAATGAGACTTCACCCGGTCACGGTGCATGGAGGAGAGGAGGTAGTGCATGAATCTTTCCTGACACAGGTGCGTCTTGGGATGGAACGGGTTAATTGGGGTGAGGCGTCTTGCGTGGCGTGAATGATGAGAGGTTGGCTTGTTGACATACACCTCTGCTATGCTGCGCTGCTGGGTAAGCAGAAAATTGCTCCTTGTTCTCTCTGCTGTTTGTATCAGAACTCGACTCGACGCTGCTGAACGTACATTAATTTCCCGCTGCCGCGCTCCAACTGGCTCCGACTTGCTTTGCTCCACGTTTCATGTGACCAACATATGACGACATGAACTGTAGCTCCCTCTGATGCCGGTGCGTGCGGGAGAGGGTGACTTTTATGAATACATTATTGAACAAATCAGCGCCGCAACGCACGATGCGACAGCTGCACTCCACTACGCTGAACTGCAACTTCCAAATGATTCGCGCACCAAGACAGCCGGGGACAACCAGAAACACTGCAATGAAAGAAAACACTGCACTGAACTGCGTTACCGCCACAGCGCTTCACACGGGGGGAAACATCCAAAGTAAAACTTGACTGGAGCACCACAACCACCACTTTACAAAGGAAAACAGAAGTTGGTCCCCACGACCCTCTCGAGCGTTTTCTTCAGGAACCCTGAAAATATCCTTGAAGTTTAGTTTTAAACAAGCATAAAAACAAAACCTCCTGTGCAGTAGCATCCCTGAATCCTGCATGATGTTATGACCCGGAAGAGTCATAACATCAGAAAAGAAAATTAGTCTTTTTCTGAATTTCTAAGTAGCTGTCCAATGTATGATCTTAATTTATAATAAAAATAAATAAATAAAAACTTTTTGTTTAAATAATCCATAATTAACCTTAAATATTCATTTAAGAGTTAAACTCACAAGTCCCTACAAGATTTGAAGTAGCCGCCATTACATGGTGGCTCAAGAGGCAGGAGTTTGATGGTCTGATGGTTCTCTGTCATTGTGTTATCGTGCCTGGGGGCAGCCTACCCCCGTCAGGCAGCTGTGGCTACGATGTAGTAGCTCACCACCATGAGTGCGTGAACGGCTGAAAGTAGCGTAAAGAGCTTTGCGGCCCTCTGGACTTGATAAACTACAAAAGTACAGGTCATTTACCATTTAATAAATGCATGAAATGCAACCCTCATCTTTTGCTCAACAAAAAAATTACATGTTGGAAGCAGATTTAGGACAGAGATTGTGTTTTATCTACAAAGACACATTGTTTACATTCCTGAAATTTTTCCTGAGTTTAAAGAAATGGGGTAGAAAAAAAAATAACAGATTCTAACGTTGAAACCTGAAATACCACTTGTTTCCCCAAAGTCTGTTTCTGATTGGTTGATCAGCACCTGGCGATGCCTCATTACCCCCAACAAGGACCACAGAGAATGCTTTTACAAACTAAACCTGCTCATCTTGCCAGATTTAGTTACATTTAATATTTTTGTTTGTGCTGGATGACTTTCTGTGGAGTTCCTTTTCTTTGTTTCATTTTGTCTTTTCGACTCTTCTTCTTCAGAAAGCTCCCTGCTCTAAACTCTCGAAGTAGATTGTAATCAAAGACAATTTGTTTGAGCCTTTTTTTAACAAATAACTCATCATGAATTAGACTTCGGTGTGATTAACAATCAATTTTGTCCTTGATTTAGTATCGTTAAAGCGACTTAATTTTGATAAATGTCCAGAATCTCTTTATTTATCCATCAGGAAAATTTCAGATAATTGAGACCAACGATTTTCATGTATGACTATAAAATAACATAGAAAACAATCCGCTACAAAATGAACACATCCTACCCACCTTACCTTAGAGAAATGCAATGTGTGTGTGTGCTGTGTGTTTTATGCTGGATTTATTCCGTCAATGGCTTTTGAGGAGTCATTGACGGCAGATGCGTCAGTGTGAAGAGGAAGTGATAGAAAGGGAACCCTTTGAAGGGTACCATGCTGACTCCTGAGCCCACTAAGGAGCGGAGCCAACATGGGGTCGTTTACCAGAACCAGCACAGACACACACCTGACACACCTGACAGAGAAGACTTAGCCAAAGCCCCGATGCCATAGGCATTTGAGTTCCTCTTGAGCCGAGGCAGGATTGATGTGGTGTCCTCCATGGACAGCTGGAGGGAGAGAAGAGAGAGGAATGGAAGAGGAGGAAGGGGGGAGGAAGAAGAGAGTGTGGATGGTGTGACGGGAGACACAAAGACATCGACATAGTGTGTGTTATAGAGAAGGTGAGTGGAGAGGAGAAGTGATGGAGATGTTGGGTTAATACAAAAGACAACATCTGTATTACCCAAATCTTCAGTCCAAGTAAACTTAAAAAAAATTGTGCTCACTACTGTGCACCACTACGGTAAAGCATAAGGTCTAATATAAAGCTGAGGAGGTGAGGGGAGATCATGAGGGAGCGAGAGCCTGTAGCTACGGGGTGACGCAAATCAAAAACAAGTGGAGAGAAAAGGCATAGATGGAGAAACGATGCCACAACACTTACATTGATTCCTTCCCATGAAAACTCTGAACGTCCATGCTGAAGAAGAGAAACGGGAGGAGGGAGGGATGGGGGGGAAAGAAGGAGCAGCAAAGAGTAAGAGAGAGTGACAGAACATCAACATGCGTCGAGGAGGAGCGAGACACCGAGTTGGTTCGCAAGTCGGACGTGCGGATGAGGAGGATGAAATTAAAGGAGGTGAGTAGGGAAAGAAATGAGAGACGGATACGTGTGAGTTTCCAAAGGAACAGAATGACAGGGAGAAGGGAGGGGATTAAACAGGGATCAGTTTATATTTGCTTAGTTATGTTTAGCAGAGTGAATACGCCATGGTTAAATGAGCTTCCTCTTTGGGGGGCATGTGCTGCCAAAACCCATGAAAGATGGCAGAATATTGTGTGTGAGTGCTTGAGAGAGATGTCAGTGGTGTACTGATCAGTATCTGATGCTGCAGATAGACGAGGTGCTGAGGCTGACAGGAAGGTGTGTGTGTGTGTGTGTGTGTGTGTGTGTGTGTGTGTGTGTGTGTGTGTTGTGCAGGGAGGAGGCGGACTCAGATGATGACAATGAAGATAAGCAGCAGTTTCTGCGACACTATTTCCCTCTATCAGCTGAGAGTGGAGCACTTGTGGCCTGCCGGCTTAAATATTTTCACCCCACTGTCGATGTGCACAGACACAGTAAAAACTCAACTGCAGCACGTCTATTTCTTCCTGAATTGCATTTTCATATGGATGAGGGTTTTTTTTTTTTTTTTCTGGACTGGTACACGGATTAAAGCTATTTTTTGCAAATATTTGGACACCCATGCTGTAAACTGCAGCGGTTCTCAGATACTGTAAAACACATTGCTTTGCAAAATATGCTACTCTTGAGCTTTTTCACATTTTGTAACATAGCAATCACAAACCGCAATACATTTAATTTCCATTTTATGTGGCAGATTAACACAGAATGACGCAAATTGCGATGAATCATGCATATGTTTTGTCCTTAAAACGTCGAGCCTTTTCAGGTCACCTTATTAGTAAATGGTGGCTAATTTTATTCTACGTATAAATGTAGCTGTTCTGTGAAGTTTCTTGGAAAAGATGAGAAAGCAAAGAGCACCATAACAACCAAGGAATGCAGCAGCGAGGTGAGGGATGAATCTGTGAAGAAATGTAAAGCAATATTAGGTCTTAAAACAATATTACAAGCTTTGAACATCTCAGAGTGCCCTGGTTAAGTCATCATCTGAAAATGGAAAGAGTTTGGCAAACCTACCAAAACATGGCCATCCACACAAAATGAGCGAGAGGAGAGCCACATGTGGCCAACTTCATCAACCGAGTGAATGAAAATAAGTTCTGGACCGCACTGAAGAACTACAGAATCAACATTTAACAGATTCCAGCACTCGATGTACTGCAAAGGGCGGGGCAACTGCTGCTGTTATTGTGCATTAATATTGCAAAAGGCTGCTACACAAGTAAAAATAAAGTACTTTAGAAAAGAGAGAGGCTCTGTAGAGCAGAACATGCAGCTAAGTTTAACACATTACAGCTAGAGAGCCTGCAGTAGAGGTTCTCACATGACCAAACCCGTCTTTGTGCCGCTTTCAAAACAGTTGAAATGCTGCAAAATTATCCTCATTTTTTAGGTGCGGTGCAGTTCTGCAGAAAGCAGCTTTGTCTCCCTATTATCAGCCGGAAGGAGGGGACTCCCACTCAGCAGACGGGGTACCACCTCCCTGTTGACCGCATATGCATAAAGGCAATACTTAAATGTTATTATGAGATCCTCATGCAGCCCTCTTCTAATGCCACCCTGGGCAAACCACCAACATGCCAAAATTATGGCAAGATGAGAGTTCGATTGGACAAGAGCATATTAGCCAGTAAAGCATCCATTCCAGTTGCAACTCAGCAGAAACAATGAGAGTGTTAATTAGAGGTACCAGTTCATAAGACCACTGACTTACATGGAGCTTACGGAATGACATATTATTGACTATTATCAAAAATTAGCTAAGAAACATTGCAGCTGCGAAGTTTTGATTGCTTGATAAGAAATCAGAGAACTGTGTTACTGTTGTTAGTGAACGTGTTGCTCACATTGTTTGAATGTGCAAAAATCTTCAAAGAAAATGACATTATACTTATTATTGGCCTGTGACAGTATTTAGCCTGGTCACTGAGCAAACCAGGGAGAAAGCAAACAAAACTGGAACGCATCGTTATGCCGCCACCGCTGCATTTCAGAAAGTGCGTCGTCGCTGATTAGAAACTAAATGAAAGAAAATCAAGAGCAGTGTCTCGGTGTGTCATGCTTCTGTATTCATCCCCCTTTTATTCTGATACTCCTAATTAAATCCAGTGCAACAACTTGCCTTCAGAAGTCAACTAATTAGTAAAGTCGTCTGTGTGCGGTTTAATCTCAGTATCAATCCAGAGGATCTGTGAAAGTTTCAGAGGTTTGCTATAGAACATTAGTGGACAGAAACAACATGAAGACCAGAGCAGGAACAAAGCTGGACATACATGCATCTGATAAATGGAGCAGCTTAGACTGGAGCATCCATGTGTCCTGACCTCTATTCAACTGAGAATATGTGGAAATATATTACTAAGGAAGGATGAATACAAATATACACCAGACTTTTTAATTTTACCAATTAAAAAACATGTAAATCCATGCGCCATTTTTCATAAAACATCCCAGTAACGTACATGGCAGTTTGCGATTGGAGCACGACAAAATGTGGAAAAGCTCACGGGGTGTGAATAGGTCTGCAGGCTCCTGTAGTTGTAGATGTTTAAAAGTGAAAGTAATTGAAATTTTAATGTTGAATCTTGATTACAGTTTTTTGTCTGAGTTCACTGACTGGAGTCGGGCACGTCAGCTGGATACAGCAGGTATCCCGACTGTAGTTATGATTCGATATGAGCGCCCTCCTGTCTAATTCATGCTTTTCTTGTAATTCTATTCTGTGCTCCCTTTCCTTTCCTCTTTCTCTCTTCCTTTCTCTCCTCCCTCCCTTTCACAGGAGCAGGAGTGATGAGAGATTTAACACACTTGAGTGGTAGAGCTCAGCCCCTTGAAGCAGCTTTGCCATTCTTTTTCCAATAGCTGACCATGCTGCCAATGTGTGTGTGTGTGTGTGTGCGTGTGTGAATGTGTGTGTGCGGGCAGCTGCTTTTTCTTTCCAAAGGGCATTCTGGGACATAACACATAAATAAATGATGCAATCAGTCCACAGTGCATTTGGTGGAAAAGTAGAAGTCTCTACACTTTCGTTCAAAATGGTTTCCTCTCCGGTGTCCTGTCTCATGGGATCAGTGTTAGAGGAGAGAGGAGAGAAAAGGATACAAAGCAATGGGAATGTGTAAAAGTTGGAGAAAGAGGGAAGGTGATGTCTCTGCGGTTCTTTTTTTTGTTTGTTTTTTTTTTTTTGCAGATGTGTGACAAACATCTGACTTCTTGACATCAAAACCAGCAATCGCTGATTCTTTAAGATACGAGGGAAGAGCGGTGAGCTTTGAAGAACTGATATTTCTAAACTACCAGTGTGAGCACAGTGAGCCGGCGAAGTCATCATCATGTGGAAGCTAAACAGTTTGTGGCCATGTTGGTTTCTCAGGTGGAAAAGCAACAATCCACAGTGAAAGGAGTCAACAAGACGACCAAATGAGATGGAAAGCTGAAGACTTACTTGCTCCCCATCCTTCTGGACTGGCACCCCATCTGCCGCTGTGAGCGCATTACAGGAAGAGAGAGACGAAAAGAGAAGAAAGTATTATTATTCATCTGTGACATAACAGATCAGACAGAATGTCAAACAAAATCTTCAGCTTTTAATAAAATGTCACCCGAAAAATCATTTTTGCACATTTTACTTCTTTGGTGATCTCAATTTAATAATAAAAGAAATTTCACAAAGGTCCCATGTCGCCATAGCAACAATAAAGACACTTATTTTACAGCCTGATATTGTCCAAGTGCTTACAAGTTGAAAAAACGACAACCAGAAGAAGTCAGTAACACTGAACCAATGTTGGAGCCAAAAATGACTCTCTCCAGCTGAGGGAGTAACTGAGGAGGAAAAACCAAGGAGCAGAAACGCAGCAGGGTTCAAAAAAGTCTAACACACAGCAGGCACTTTGTTTTTTTTTTCCTGCTCTGTCTCTGTTGCTTGGTGAAGTTATTTGGATGTCTAAGCAGTTTTTAAACTTTGACTTCCTTCCTTTTTTTCCTTTTCCAAGCTCACCACTGCGAAATCAAGATTAGATAAACTCAGTATCAGGCTGGTAAACCTTTCTCTTTGAACTCCTGTGAGATCGGTATATTTCTGATGGAAGTTAATCCTTTTATCACCTTATGTAAATATGAGCAGTTACGACAAGAAAAGCCTGGAAAATCACTTCCAGACTTAAAAAAAAATGCTCAAAGGAGATAACATAAACTGTTCAAAGCTGTCAAATTCCCCAACACTATTGGATGTTATAAGTATTCCTGATTTCCAGAATCTCCTTGCTTCATTAAATGTGTGACGATAATGATTTAATGGGATTAAATAAATAATTAATCCTTTGGACACTTTTTGATAGATTCACAGACTGAGAACAACCATTTATCTACTTAAATAGTTTAATGTAATTCATCAGTCTGCCACAGAACTGATGATTTAATAAAAACACGAGCAAAGCAACAAAACCCACTGGTTCTTGGTAGTAACCCTTCTCACATTCTGTTTGCATTGCTGTATATTGATGCATTTCGCCTAACAACTGATTTTATAATTTATTGGGAGATTGTTCTCGAATTAATCACTTAGCCGTACATGAGACTCATTTGAAATCCACGCTCTGTGCTGGATAAATGAACGTTATTATCCCTCCTCATTCGGCTGTCCAAATCCTAATTAAAACATTGGTTTAATTAGAGAGTCTCTGCTCCTGATGGAGTTTAAACGCAGCCTCGGTCTCTAGGTGCTCTTCTGTATCAGAGGGTCTGTTCTCCGTGTGCGTGCAACTCTCAGAGGGGCTCCCTCCTCTGCGGGTCTCTCGGTTCGCCACCGAGCCAGTCGTGTATTTCAAGGAGCTGCAATTGGCAATCGCGAGCAAATTCTCGCTTGAGCTTTGAGGGCCGCACCGAGTCGCTGGATCTGTGGATGTCCAGCGATGTCTGTGACCCACTGACCCAGTGATTCAGAGACATCAGCTATGCTCTGTCTCCGCTGGGCTCTCGGATATTAGCCTTTCCTCTGAACTCCGTTCAGTCACATCAGATAACTGCAAGGGCAAGTGACGAGGGACGGATTTCATTCCAGAAATCCTGTCCTCGCTTCTGTGAGAAAAGGGCTGTCAAACTGCAAATATGACCGCTTTGTCACAGTGGCACATGTGCTGCAGAGTTGAGGTTTCTAAAGAGGATGCTTTTAGTCAACTCACCGGGAGCAATCAAAGTCTGTGATTCACACTCCATGAAGTTTAATCCCACTTAATTATAAAAGACACTTTAAGAGAATTTCTATTATTTCCAACGTCTATGTCGGTCTCGTTAGGGAAACTGTGGCTTATCACAGTTTTGTCGGTGCAACATCTGCTGCAATAAGTATTAGATCTATAATATTTATTGCTTAAAATGCAGCTTTGAGCTTTTCTGGAGATTGTGTGCAAGTTTTATTTAATGATGATGTGTCACAGTGCCGTAATCCTCTGGCAAACTAGAACAAACATGGTTCGTAAAAGTAAAACCCTTAAAATGAAGACATGTCTTTACATCACAGTTTTTACTGAACACATTTATACTCACGGGCCACAAATAGACGTGAACTTTGTGTGGCCTCAGAGGAATTGCAAACATGTTTGACTGTTGGCCCTGAGAGTTGTAATGTGAGCGGCTCATTTATTGGCTGCTGTTAGTTAAACAGAAAAGCAGCGCAGAGAAAAGTGAAAGGTTTACATATTCCCACCATGAGCAAGACTCTCGTGTTGATTGTGAGCCTTTTTCTAGCCTTTACTCTTGCAGGGTGGAATGATAATAAAACATACAGTGTTAAAGATTTTTTTAACAAGAGAATACAGGTTTGAGTTTATTGTAAATATTCTCTAATCCAGAAATGATTAAAATTAGAAGTACAGACTCAAACATATACACACAGCCACACTCAACTTAGGCTAAGTTTTCTACATGGTTGATGTTTGAGCCATTCACAAAGATTTATCTATTCAAATGCAAATTTTGGTTTGCTTTCAAATTAATAAGTCTTCGGTTTTTATTGTTCTATCCACGTTGCACCAGTATCACTGGTAGCAAAAGCAGCCCCACAGTATCATACTGCCAACACCGTACAAGAGAGTTGGTCAGGTTTTCTGTTGCTTGACTTCTCTAAGCATTCTTCTTCTCAGAATAGCCAAATAGCTCAGTCTTTGCCTTCAACATTAGACTTCTTTGAAAGGCTTTCTTCACTGTGGAAGGCAATAAACAATTTAAAATAGATAAATCAGGCTGAAACCTGAACATTCCTCCTAGTATCTCGACTTCAGTCGTGTTGAAAATTTGTGGATTATGCCTGAAATCCAGATCGGGGGCACTAATTAAAATTAATTTTGGCCACAAAAAAACTCTGAGAATGACATCAGAAGCTTATTTTTGGCAGCAATAAGTTGCAGGAACAACTTGCTTATGAACATTTAACAAAATTGTATGTATGTATTTATGCCTGCATGTATAATTTGGAACCGTTGTTGATTAAAGAAAATAACAACAAATGTATTTGTTGCATAACCATCCCATCATTGCAAAATAACAATATAAACGCATTCAAATAATAAAAATAAAATGTCGTTCACATCAACGATAAGGGTATGTAAACTTCTGACCACAACTGTATATCATGTACATTATTTGCAGCCGAGGCAGAGGGAGAGCGTCCTAGATTTTTTACCCATCTGGGTTACAATTCTGCCCTGAAAACACAAACTACCCATCAACATACCCATCCACATGCATGTGGCTGCCAGCCACATATAGTCTAATTATGCACTCACACCGCTTCCTCCCTCCTCCCGCTTCTGTCCTCTTCTCGAGTTTTCACAGCCTCTCTCCTCCCTCCATCCATCAGCCTCATTCGGCCAATTAGCAAATTAGCAATCAGTCTCTGTGCACATAAATCACAACATGGCCCAAGAGTTCTCTGAACTGCAGCAGAACGCACAGCTACTGAGGAGCCGCTCAACCGTGACACCGGATCATCACAGCGTGTCGTATTGACAACGCTCACTTTCTAGCGTTTTTCAGTTTCGACCTTATTAACAATCATGTTAAGGGATTTTTTTTTTTTTTTTTTGTGAAACAAGACGGTGTGCAAAAGTATTCATGCCCCTTGAACTTTTCCCCATTTTCTTGCAACGACTTGAATATATCATAACTGGGGTTTCATGAGATAGACTAATAAATTAGCATTTATTGTAAACAATATTTCATTTATAGATTTTTTAAAAAGGGTGGTGTCCACGTGTTCACCCGACTTTATTCCAAAAGAGAATAAACATAAACAAACAGTAAAGAGTTAAGGAGAAGTATAAAGCAGAGTGAAATCATAAAAATGAAATCTCACAAACATCTCACCTAGCTCAGTATAACCTGAAAATAGAAAATCAAACATGTTTGATTTCAATATATGCCGATACACCTAAATCACGTCAGCCAAGGAGAGTGTTAATCAGAGAGGCAACCAAGAAGGCAACAGTAGGTTAGCTGTGAACTCCATAAATCTGGTCACTGTAGAAAAGTAGTCAAGTTAAGATTATTTGCAGAGCACATGTCATGAACAAGGTGATTCAAAGTCATCTACATGATAAAAACACAATAAGCAACCAAAAGAAATTACATAGCAGTGGAAAAATAAAGAGAATGAAAAGTTGTAATTCATGTTAAAATTAACTGTGATCCAGTTACTATTAATCAAAGACAGCTCTAAACAAATGGGATTTCAGTCTCGATTTAAAATTACTCAGTGTTTCAGCAGCTTTGCAGTTCTCTGGAAGTTTGAAAGACTCCTACAACAACAACAACAACAACAACAGATCTTTAATGTATTTTGGTGCTAAGCAACTTAGTGATTTATAAAAGTACAAAAGTATTTTAAAAGTCTATCCTCTGAGAAACTTGGAGCCAGTGTAAAGACTTTGATCCAAATGGATTTCTGGCCTACATGCAAAATGCAGTGAGTGGCATACATCACCCTGAACGCATCCTCCTGACAGACAGTGAAATATAGTGTTGGCAGCATAATGATGTGGCGACCAGGTAAGGTGGTCAGAGTTAATGGGAAGGTTGATGCACCTAAATACAGAGCAATCCTGGAGGATAATCTGGTAGAGTTTAAAAAAACATAAGTCTGGGGTGGAGATTCACCTTCCAGCAGGCCAACAGCCATAAACATAGAGCCAGAGACACAATAAAGACGTATGGATGAAAGCAGGCCTAAATCCCAATGAAAGACTGAGAACAGAACTTGGAAATTAATTTTTATAGATGCTCTCCGTCCGAAGTATTGGATAAAGTTGCACAACTCAATCAGTACAGTTGGAATCTTTTATCTGAAAGCAAAAAAAATAAAAAAAATAAAAAACAGAAACCACTAATTGTTTCCTCTTCCGCTGCACTGCTTGTTTGGTCTGGCACAGAATATCCAAACCTAGGACATCGGAGTTAAAGAATATGAAAAATGCAAAGGTTATGAA